CAGGAGATGGGTCACGATCATTATAGTTAAAATCATAACTGTACGTTGATACCTACAAGTACAGAGAGAGAAGACATTTGATGCAAAAATATAGGCAAAGTTATGTTGTGTAGAAAGCTTGAGCTGGTTCTAATCAAAATTGGATTTTTTACAAATTTTAAAAGTTGCTCCAAAATTTGGCAAAAGCCCTTGCATGTACATGGCCTCGGGCCAAATTTTGTTAAAAAAACAAGAAAATTTGTTTCCTGATACATATACATGTACATAAATATTCTTAAAGTGCAAGCCACTTTAATGATTCAACCAGGAAACACTCACATAGTTATTCCTTAGGTCAGCATGAGTATGTTGTACTCCTACACGAAAACTGACTAATGCTGTTACCAGAACAATTATATCACTTTACCATCATCCACGACACCAACTAATATTCCATTTCCAGTATATCCTTGTATCCATGCTGGTTCTGCATTCAGATCAAGGTAAAGGTTTGGCTCACTGGTTTGACCAGTATTGTTCTACAATAAAATCCAATAAACTTGGCCTCCATGCCAGACCATTCCACTATACTTACAACTGTCCACTGTCTACCCCACAGTGGATCTGTCTGACTTGTTGGTTGAATATATTTCTTCTCCCACTCATGTAAACTCTGCTGCTGGACATACCCTACCTGGAGGAAACATGACAAGTATGTGTTGACATTAAGTATATGATCTGTTATGCAAAGTATTTAGACTTTCTATATTTCCTACACACTATACCTTAGATCAGAAATTCTTAGTAGGATTCTATATGCACTACGTAACATTTGCAGTTCCCAAATAGGGAGAGTGAAAGTCATTTTACGAGGGATTACGAAGAATTGAATATATTTTCTTTGTGTAATTACAGTACATATTTTACACAAAGAAACTGTAATCAATGTTTTCATATCATAATTAATTTGATATTATAATGAATAGTCAAAGGAACATAAGAATGACTCTGAAATAGCTACAAAAACCACAAGAAAGATTTGGGTATAATAATCACAAGTGGATAAGCATTTTGTGGTGAGAATCCTGCAAATATTGTTTGCATGCATTTACATTCATGAATTTTAAATGATTGCTCCAAGAGAGAATTTTCATTGTATCTATTACTGTAATTCAATTTTCACTGTAATATTGTACCTTACACTGGCTGTATGCTAGGTTGAATTTTCCCACAACTTGACAAATGGCCGGCCCAGGCCATAATTGAACGAATACATGATTATGCATAAATTTTTTCAGATAAGGTTACCTTTATTTCTGACTTGAGAGCAGTTGTCCTGTACTTTAATTCAGTTCTAGATTTAACATTCTCAACATTAGAGCTCATTTTGAAATGATAAATATTAGCAAAAGCACCAACCTGGCAATATCATAATATTTCATTAAGTATTATTTATCTCTTACTCTTCCCATGTTAGTGAAGCCATGTCTCTCTGCAATCTCATTAGCAGCTTCAATTCCACCATGAACCTCAACAGCCCAGCTATCAGTAAAGACTGCTACTGGCCTATGACTCTCCTTATTAAAGTATGAGGCATCAGCAGCAACAGTAACGAGGGTAACAGTTAGAGCTAACAAAAACGACAAGGATGTCATTTTTACAGGAGAGATCTGTCCTGAGTTCATCAGTTCAATTTATAACATCTACATGAATGCATGATTAATTAATAATGTACATAACTACCACGCCCATTCATTAAAATTATATAGATAGCCTAGATAGCTAGCTCTAGATCTAATCACACCCATTTTAATAAGTTTTAATTAACCTTACAATAGGCCCTGGAAATTATTTTTTGTAGAAAAGCATTTTTGGATTTTTATAATTTCCTTTGTTTGTTGCAGGCTGGTGTGACCCTCACTGTTAGTCATGGCATCCGATGATATAGATGTGGACTCTATGACTCTCACTCGCTTTGTCCTCTCTGAGCAAAAACGAATAGGAGCAACCGGGAGCTTGACACTTCTTTTGAATGCACTCCAAACCGCCATCAAAGCTATCTCTGCTGCTGTCAGGAGAGCTGGATTCGCTAAACTGTAAGGAAATTAAATTTTAATGATGAAAATAGTTTTTAATTATAAGGTTACATGTGCTAAACACACCTTTACACACCTCCACTCTCACCCATTAATTGAAAAATTGTTATTATTAGTTTTTTTGCAAATGACATCTTTCTAATTCATCTTTCTTCAATTACTTCATCATCTAAAATCTTGGTATTATTCATTGCAGTTCCAAATTCTTCTGTGATAGTGATCATAGCTGATGTATTATTATTATTATTATTATTATTATTATTATTATTATTATTATTATTATTATTATTATTTACAGCACAAAAAACTAGAGTAAAATCTCATAGAAATAATTATAATGTGCACTAAAGGGAATCCAGTAAATATGCTGAGCCCCTAGAAAAAAACAAATAGCAAAGCAATAAATAGAGAAACGTGATTATTGATGTGAATGATGAATGATGCAGTTACAACAAGGACACATGGTGGTATGGAAGGTACATGGATTGTAGTTTGATTTCCAGTGGTAACGGTCTACTTGGAAGTTATTTTTCAGCTCACTAAAACCAGACTCCTCCTGATAGTCTGTGATCTTGTGGTCAATGCTGGTCTGTATTTTTGCTCCCTGATCTAAGAAACCTCTGAACTGTATTTTGTTATCATACTCTATCAGTTTGGTGTTATCACCGACCATACATAATTATAGTGGCCCTTGTATGTACATGTCTAAGAATATGAGCATCAAACTTTAGATGTTCATGATTATTAATAATTAATTTTGAGCAAGTGGGCCAAGTAGTCTAAAGTTGATTTTATGAACTCATTCTAAATTGTGGTTTATTTTTTAGAGGAGTGTTGTGTATTTAAGCAAATAGATCTACTCATTAGAATGAGTTTAAAGTAGAGATTTTGTTGTGGCTTGACCAGATATTTGTATATAACTTGATACGAGTGAAGGCCGGACTTTTATTTGAAATCCAGCAAGTGAGGGCACCCTCGGACTCTGGCCAGTTCTGACATGATTTCCTCCTCCTTTTCTCTCCTTCCTTTCACATTAAACACATTTAATTTTCTGATTAATAGCAAGTAAAGATCATTTTTAAATTGTGGTTAATTAGAAAAATTAATGTTAATTAGCAGAAGTTTATTAAAACTTTCAGCTTTGGCTATTTTCAATTTTTGGCAAAAAGATGGGGATCCGCGGACTAACAACTTACATGAACTGGTCCTACTGGAGGCAATGGAGAACTATTGAAGTACGTGGACGGCTCATAATCGATGCTATGAGTGTCTGTTTTGTCATTCATGAGAATAATCGCATAGACTGGCTACATGGCGGGCAGTACTGGGAGCTGAGGCAGTCCTACAAGCGTTTCATTACTAGCCTCCTGGAAAGTGGCATCGAGCCTATTGTCATATTTGACGGTATAGATTACACTGGGAAGAAATCTGGAGTTATGTTGGATCGCAAGGAGAGTGCCAGACAAGCCATCTCAGATATTTTAGATAAGGACGACGCCGAGTCTAACTCATCTACTGGCTCCTCCGCCTCTCGCTTAGACAAACAGCACGACTTTAGCAAACCAGCTCCATCACAAGGCTCCACTGTAATTCCTCTTTTTGCCCAAGCTGTGTTTTGCGAGACCTTGAGAGAACTCGGTGTTCGTTTTGTTTATGCTGATGGAGATGCTGACAGTATCATTGCCTCCATTGCAAACTACTATTCCTGTCCAGTCGTATCAAATGATTCTGATTTCTTTTTCTTTAACATCAGGGCTGGATACATACCTTTCTATAATCTTCATTGGGAACAGCAACCAGTCACTGCACAAGTATATTATTATTTATATTTTGTTGATAACTTCAATTTTAAAAGTCTTGAAGTGCCACTCCTAATACCAGCAATACTAGGCAACGATTATATTGAGCCGTTAAACTCACCTTGTCTAAGAGGAGATATTGCCGTGACTTTACTGAAGTACAGGGAGAGAAGAGGAGGGACCAGGTCATGGCGAGACAAAACACACGAGTTGATATTGTATTTTAAAAACTTCAGTTCTCCAGATGAATTTTTAAACTGCATCAGCAGGTGTTGCCTTCGTAATGAGGTATCCATCGTCGAAAAAAATTTAGAAATTGCAAAGGATTTTTATACTGTCAATGAATTCAGTATAAAAGACATTATGAACAAGTCTGAAATGACTACGTCGAATGGGACTGCCCTCCCTTTATGGATGATTCAGCAACTTCGTAACGGGCAATTTTCACTTAGTGCAATGGCACCTGTGGTCTTTAATGGATCGGTTTTACCTAATATAATTGATAATCCTAAAAGACGCTCTGCCATGTTCATTGGATTACCGATCAGACGTTGTATGTACACGATTCTGCTACCATTACTGGAAGAGTCGTATGTACACGAAACTGTATCTGTCGATTTTGAAGATGGATACAGTAGTATAGCCTGTAATGCTGCAAACGAATATTTTAGATTCAATTTACCCTCTATCACTGATATGGAAAAGATCAGCATTAGCTGTAGGATTGATGCTCTTTGTTTCTCGCTGGAGTGCTCCTCTGGTATTCTCAACTGGTTTGAAGACAAGTGGAAACTAGTTGTGTTATCACTAGCTTTCTGGACTAAATACGCTGTCCCTGATATTCATTTGATCAAATCCTTGATATTGTGTTTCATTGTTTGTTCGCTGGACCGAGACCCTTCATCACATATGCCACATTCCACAGATGCCGACTCATCTCAAAATAATGACACTCTTCACGTATTCTCAATGTGGCAGTGTGTCTATCATGACACTATGAAGCTCAACAATGTTCTAATGAATCCACTTTCATTTACAACACCAGCTCTCTTGTTTGATGGTAGGCTAGCTATGTATTATGCTAGTCTGGCAGACATCAATAACATAGTTAGATCGGAACTGGTTTCTTCACTTCAATTGCTAGCTTTGTTTAAGTCACTGATGTTTGTCTGTACTGAGAGTCTAAAAGCCGCCACTAAAGATGGTGTACAGTACGATCAGACTGTATATTTTAATTTGGTTCCTGTTTTAATAAGTAGTGACAGTGATGAAGATGATGACAGTGTCAGCGATGAGAGTGATATATTTGATTATATTTATGATTAAGAAGTTCATTATACTAATGCTTATTTTTAAAAATAACAAGCAGTATTTCCCTTATATGATTAAAGAAAATATTTTTATTATTTTTGGCGCAATAAAAATAGCTATCTGCTATAAACTACTTTTATACCACATAGTGTGTGTGTGTGTGTGTGTGTGCGTTCAACATTAATTGTTAAGTCGTTGTTGTTTTATAGTGGTAGTGCTGTGGGTGATACTAATGTTCAAGGGGAACAAGTCAAGAAGCTGGATGTCATTGCTAATGATCTTTTCATTAACATGCTCAAATCATCTTTTGAAGTAAATATGTTTTATAAATGAATTATGTGCTAAAAATGTTGAAATAAACCTTGTACATTTTATGGGCATAGTATTGTAATGAAACTGTCACTACATTACTATTGTGTTATAATAGGTTGGTGTGATGGTTTCTGAAGAGAATGACAAATGTATTGAAGTCACTGATTGTGGTGGTAAATATGTCGTTGCATTTGATCCACTGGATGGTTCCTCCAACATTGATTGCCTTGTGTCGATTGGATCAATCTTTGCCATATGGAAGAAAGTAAGCTGATTTGAAAGTAGGTGTAATGATATCTTGTAGGATTAGATTTTATCAGTGTTATAATAATAATGATAATGATAATGTAATTAATATTTGCAATTTTACTCCACTTGCAACATTTAAAGGTTGCTTCAAGGCATAAGTCATGTTCATGTTGTGAACATTTTAGTTAATGATTTTATATTGTAAATTTACAAACTGCTAAATATTTTGTATTTGTTTCTTCAATACTGAGCCTATAACATTAACTCTCAATATTATACCTATGCTGTATATCAATAATTCACTAATAACGAGACATACATTTGTATTGTGTTTTATTAATAGGTTTCTCCTGATAGCAAAGCTAGTGAGGCTGATCTTTATCAGCCTGGTCGTACTATGGTTGCTGCTGGTTACTCTGTCTATGGGAGTGCTACTATGCTAGTAATTTCAACTGGTAATGGAGTCAATGGGTTTACACTAGATCCAGTAAGGAATGAGAAGAGCTTCAAAAAGAGAGGGAAGGAGAGAGAGACAGAGAGAGAGAGAGGGAGGGAGGGAAGGAAGGAGAATTTGAAAAGCATTTGTGAAGGGTGTTGTTGTACTATTTTTGTTGCAGTAGCAGTATGTGTGTGAGTGAGTATTTTAATTTTCACTTTGGCTCAGTATTAACTGAATTAGTTTATACTATATAGTTTGTATTGTTTCTCAAACTCAAAAATCATGATGAATGCTCATAAACTGAGCTATCATTAATTAAGCATCACTCAAAAAAAATTCAAAAAATATGTTGCACTGTAAATTACAGCAAAATCTCGAAATTTTATGATTCTGATAGTAGACAATAACTTCAAGTAATACATTAAAACAATGGTTGGTTTAATTGACGTCTAGTCATATTTTAATACATTTTCTTTAGTCTGTTGGTGAGTTTATACTATCTGATTACAACATGAAGATCAACAAGAGAGGGAACATATTTGCCATCAATGAAGGATATGCTCAGTATTGGTCCAGTGATGTCACCGAATATGTACAGAAATGCAAATTCCCTGGGGTGAGTTATAGATACGGATGTATGGTAATAGTAATGTGTACTGTAGTGCCTATCCATCATCAAAATGGTTAGGAGAGAATTCTCCAATTTTATTTCATTGTCTGATGCATATGCATGTTCTTATGTTGTGTGGAAAGTTTAAACAGATTTCAATCAAAATTAGATTTTTTAAGAATTTTTAAAACTGCTCCAAAATCAGGCCAAAGTCCCTGTACTATAGCACAGGGTCATTGGTCAAATTTCATCAAAAATGGCTAGGAGAGAATTCTTCATTTTTATAATTTTTCCTGATACATATATATGTTTTTATGTTGTGTAGAAAGTTTGAGCTCATTCCGATCAAAATTGAATTTTTTATGAATTTTTGAAGTTACACTAAAAGACAATCAACTATACAATATGTATAGCCTATGGCATATCATCAAAAATCACTGGGAGAGAATTTCACATAGAAAGTTCTAATGAACTTGGAGCAATGAACATGCTAAGAAATGCTATGCTAAAGACTTATTTATTTTATTTATTATTATCAAGAGTTGATAATTATTTATCTACTCTTGTTATTATTATTGTAGTTATTATTATTATTATTGTGATTTCATTGCAATAGGATGGGAAATCTCCAATGGGAGCTCGGTACGTTGGCTCAATGGTCTCCGACATGCACCGCACACTCAAATATGGTGGTATATTTATGTACCCTGCAACCACCAAGAGCCCCAAGGGGAAAGTGAGTCATTCTCTGTTATATCACTGTATAGCTGGTATGATGTAATAATGATGATTATTTTGTATCAACTAGGCACACATAATTGTGTAGTAGTACAATTTTTTTAACAATAGATAATTTTTTGATGAAAATAGTTATACATGATTTTAAAAACATCCTGGTTCTGAATGGTGAATATTATACTATTTATTTTTTGTAGCTCCGTCTCCAGTATGAGTGTAATCCAATGGCGTTCATCATTGAGCAGGCTGGGGGTATGGCGTCTAATGGAGTGATACCCATTCTTGATATTGTCCCAACCGGTATACATGATCGTAGTCCCATTTTTATTGGATCGGAGGAAAACGTTAAGGATTATTTAAAGATTCGTGAAGAGCACGATAAGAAGAAGTGATGATCATTATGAGTAGTGATCAGTAACTGTATTATTATTATTATTATTAGTATGTTATCATGTGTATTAGTTCAATAGTTTAGTCAACTGATATCTTTGTTTTTAATAAAATGTTTAGCAGAACTAAGAATGCTACTTAGAAAAGATATAGATCTAACTGTATAAATGAGCCCCACCTCATTATGGGCGGTGTTTTGCATCTTTATTTCTCTTTTTGTTTTTGTAATTTGTATGTATTATAGCTTGTAGGAAAATCATGGGAGTCCGTGGACTAACTACTTACATGAACCGGTTCTACTCGAAGAAGTGGAAAACTATTGAGGTACGTGGACGGCTCATAATCGATGCTATGAGTATCTGTTTTGTCATTCATGAGAATAATCACATAGACTGGCTACATGGTGGGCAGTACTGGGAGCTGAGGCAGTCCTACAAGCGTTTCATTACTAGCCTCCTGGAAAGTGGCATCGAGCCCATTGTCATATTTGACGGTATAGATTACACCAAGAAGAAGTCTGGAGTTATGATGAGACGCAAAAAGAGTGCCAGAGAGGCCATCTCAAACTCTCTTTTAGTGAGTGATGTAGCTAAAGTCTCACCTAGCCCCTCACAGGTGGTAGAAGAACCATCTAGTTCTGGTCACAACTCATCTGATAGTGAGACATCACCTCTAGTCAGTAACGTTACCAAACCAGGTCCATCACATGCCACTGTGATTCCTCTTTTTTCTGGAGCTGTATTTCGTGAGACCCTAAGAGAGCTTGGTGTTTCTTTCATTTTTGCTGATGGAGATGCTGATAATGATATTGCCTCTATTGCAAATGATTATTCTTGTCCAGTCATATCAAATGATTCTGATTTCTTTTTCTTTAACATCAGGGCTGGATACATACCTTTCTATAATCTTCATTGGGAACAGCAACCAGTCACTGCACAAGTATATCATTATGAATATTTTGTGTATAGCTTTTATTTTAAAAGTCCCGAGGCTCCACTCCTAATACCAGCAATACTAGGCAACGATTATATCAAAATGTTGAAGTCGCCTTGTCTAAGAGGAGATATTGCCGTGACTTTGCTTAATGCAAGGGATAGGAGAGGAGGGACCAGGTCATGGCTAGACAAAATACATGAGTTAGTAATGTATTTAAGCAAGTTCAGTTCACTAGATAAGTTTCTGAACCGCGTCAGTAGGTGCTGCCTACGTAACGAGGTATCCATCATTGAAAAAAATTTTAGAATTGCTAAGGAGTTTTACACAGTCAAAGCATTGAGTATAAATGACATTATGAACAAGTCTGAAATAACTACATCAAATGGGACTACTCTTCCTTTATGGATGATTCAGCAGTTTCGCAAGGGACAATTTTCACTTGGTGCAATGACATCTCTGGCTCTTAATGGATCCGTTTTACCTAATATAATTGATAATCCAAAAAGGCGCTCTGCCATGTTCATTGGATTACCAATTAGACATTGCATGTATGCAATTATGTTACCATTTCTGGAAGACCCAGATGTATGTGAAACTGTTTGTGTTGACTCTAAGGATAAGTATAGACGTATAGCCTGTGATGCTGCACATGAAAATTTACGACTCAATTTACCCTGTATCACTGTTATGGAACAGGCCAGCATTAGCTGTAGGATTGATGCTCTTTGTTTCTCACTGGAGTCCTCCTCTGGTATTCTCAACTGGTTTGCAGACAAATGGAAACTAGTTGTGTTATCACTAGCTTTCTGGACTAAGCACGTTGTCCCTGATATTCATTTGATCAAATCCTTGATATTGTGTTTTATTGTTTGTTCGCTGGACCGAGACCCTTCATCACATATACCACATTCTACAGATGCCGACTCATCTCAAAATAATGACACTCTTCACGTATTCTCAATGTGGCAGTGTGTCTATCATGACACTATGAAGCTCAACAATGTTCTAATGAATCCACTTTCATTTACAACACCAGCTCTCTTGTTTGATGGTAAGCTAGCTATGTATTATGCTAGTCTGGCAGACATTGATAGCACAGTTAGAAAGGAACTGGTTTCTTCACTTCAATCACTCGCTTTGTTTAAGTCACTGATGTTTGTCTGTACTGAGAGTCTAAAAGCCGCCATTAAAGATGGTATACAGTACGATCAGACTGTATATTTTGAATTCAGTTCTGATTCAAGTAGTGATGATAGCAATGAAGATGACGACTGTGATTAATTTTGCATTTTATACATTTAATTTATTTTTGATAACTATTAGCTAAAGAAATTTTTTGCAAGTATTACAAAAAATTTGCGTATTCTTGACATTGTCCCAACTGGTATACTTGATTGTAGTCCCATTTTTATTGAATCAAAGGAAAATGTTAAGGATTATTTAAAGATTTGTGAAGAGAATGATAAAAAGAAGTGATGATCATTATTGTAGCGATGGAACTAATCCACATGATAACATACTAATAATAAAATACAGTTACTAATCGGCGATTAGTAACTGTATTTTATTATTAGTATGTTATCATGTGTATTAGTTTAATGGTTTAGTCAACTGATATCTTTGTTTATTATAATAAAATGTTTAGCAGAATTAAAAGATACAAGCTTTACATGTATTGACAAATGGGTATTAATGGCCATGATCCTAGGTTTTGCATGAATGAGCCCCGCCCGTTTGTGGGTGGTGGCAGTGCAGTAGTCTACATACAGTAGATCTACAGTGCGTCTTTTAAAATTTTATGCCTCAATGGGGATCCGTGGAATAACCACTTATATGAAACAGTGCTACTCGAATAGGTGGAAAACCATTGAAGTACGTGGACAGCTCATATTGGATGCTATGAGTATCTGTTTTGCCATTCCCCGAAATAATCACACAGACTGGTTACATGGTGGGCAGTACTGGGAGCTGAGGCAGTCCTACAAGCGTTTCATTACTAGCCTCTTGGAAAGTGGAATCGAACCTATTGTCATATTTGATGGGATAGATTACACCAGGAAAAAGTCTGGAGTTATGATGAGACGCAAAAAGAGTGCAAGGCAAACTATTTCAAATGTTCTGGATAAACCCAGCTCTGCAGTCACTGGCAAAGCAGGTCTACCACATGGCTCTAAGTCTAATGATGTTATTCCACTTTTTTCTGAAGCTGTATTTTGTGAGACCTTGAGAGAGCTTGGTGTTTGTTTCATTTTTGCTGATGGAGATGCAGACAATGCAATTGCATCTATTGCAAATAATTATTCTTGTCCAGTTGTATCGGATGACTCTGATTTCTTTTTCTTTAACATCAGGGCTGGATACATACCTTTCTATAATCTCCATTGGGAACAGCAACCAGTCACTGCACAAGTATATTATTATCAATATTTTGTGTATAGTTTTAATTTTAAATGTCTTGAAGCACCACTCCTAATACCAGCAATACTTGGCAATGATTATATCAAGCCGTTAAAGTCACCTTGTCTAAGAGGAGATATTGCTGTGACTTTACTTAAGTACAGGGAGAGAAGAGGAGGGAGCAAGTCATGGCTAGACAAAATAGATGAGTTAATAATGTATTTAAGAAAATTCAGTTCACTAGATAAGTTTCTGAACCGCGTCAGTAGGTGCTGCTTACGTAATGAGGTATCCATTATTGAAAAAAATTTAGAAATTGCAAAGGAGTTTTATACCATCAAAGCATTCAGTATAGATGGCATTATGGACAAGGCTAAAATAACTACATCAAATGGGACTACTCTTCCTCTATGGGTGATTCAGCAGTATCGCAATGGACAATTTTCAAGTTATGCAATGAAACCACTGGCTCATAATGACTCTGCTTTACCTTATATAATAGATAATCCTAAAAGACGCTCTGCCATGTTCATTGGATTACCAATTAGATGTTGTATGTACACGATACTACAACCATTACTGGAAGATCCGTGTGTACATGAAACTGTTTGTGTTGACTCTAAGGAAAAATATAGGGACATAGTTTGTGATGCTGCAAATGAATGCTTAAAGTTCAATTTACCTTCTGTCACTAATATGGAAAAGGCCAGTATTAGCTGTAGGATTGATGCTCTTTGTTTCTCACTGGAGTGCTCCTCTGGTATTCTCAACTGGTTTGAAGACAAATTGAAACTAGTTGTGTTATCACTAACTTTCTGGACTAAACATGTTGTCCC